TGTTCCGCATTTGTGGTTGACAACGTCATCCATCCGTCAGCTTCCTGCTCCAGCTATCACATCTGCCCCTTGCTGCCTTGCCTTCCTATGTTGACGGACTCTTCTCCCCCGAAACTGTAAGACAAAGTCAATTCTTTCTTCCTTAAGTCACCTTGCTCATGGTGTTTCATTACAGCAACACTCAAGTAGCTAACACACCCTGTGTGTTGACGTCACCACTATTCTCAACAAGAAATTCTTCAAGACTTAGGAATTGCTGGAGATCAAGGCCGTCAAACAATTCTTTCCAGTATTCCTATTTGGTCTTAGAAACTTGAATTTTATTACTAGTATTACCAGTAGATTTCCTTAGAGTAGTAGGCTCATTTCAGATAACAGTTATGTAATATCCAGTTTTGTCTATAAAGATGGTGTTCTGTGAAAAATATGGCTAGTTAAACTCGTAACTAAGGTGACCTCGTGGGTGCTGTTCCTTGAGGAATTTGTGCTGCTTTTATATATGTTTTGTACATATGCTTGACTTTATTATTTTATTTAAAAAAAAGTATTAAATGGCTGGGATTAAATGGCTCAGTATATGATGATTACTTATCTTATATATATTTATGTATGTACACATTGCTGAGATTTATCAAAATCTCTAAATTTCACTGCTTTACTAAGCTGCCTTGTAAGTTTGTGGCAGGGAAGAACTCAGTGCCGGGTGCTATTACTTTACCAATGCCTATCTGCCAACAGCTTACCCACTCTTTGTTTTTGTAACATCAGAGTAAAGACTACACAGTGAAACAGACAAAAGGCATTGTTGTAAAAATAACTCTGACCTTGAGCCCCTATGTCCTATCAGTGGAATAAGTGATGGCTTGTAAGGGATTTGGTGGACATCACCAGATTTTCAACATCAGACAGGACGCACCATCACATCCTCCAGGACCCCGTGCTAAGCAATGAACTCTGGGGGGTGGGTCCTCAGACACCTCCATTCACACAGCCTGACTTTCCCAGTTGACTCTGCTCCAGTCGAGGCATCTGATACATATTCTACACTGGCAGGATTCAGGTAATGTTGGCTCTGCCGTGTTAACTCTAATCTCAGTCATTCACTTCTGCATCCCTGCCCTCTTGGGTTTGTATAAGCTGATTATTGGGAGACAGAAGTCAATACTATCAAGGGCTTAAAAATTCTTCTGAGTGCTAAAAAAAAAAAAAAACCTCCCCATGCTTGCTGCTGTTGCTATTATTTAATAATTTTCTTCTCATAGATGGGTTTGAATATTGACCAGGAAAATTTTGTACAGTGGAATTGGATGAGCCAGAAGGGACTTTTCATCAGTAGACATCTTGTTGTTTTAAAGTTTTAAGGTCTGGTTTTGGGAAGAGATAGAGACTTCAGAATCCCCAAAATCTTTTATGTAGTTTTGACTATATATTTAGCAATAATTGCACCTTATATAAACCTCATTGGCTATGATGCTGCCATTGCGCAAAGCTAGTTTTGATTATTCATATTAAATGACCATGGGAAGAGACACACTCCCAGTAGTCTGTCAATACTCTAATCCCAGGCAATCTCACAGGGAGACAACTATGCTCTCTTTCTGTCTTTATGCCATATAGGTCTCTACACATCAGTTGGTGACTGAAGTTTGATAAATACATGTAAGTGTGTGTGTGTGTGTGTGTGTGTGTGTGTGTGTGTGTGTGTGTGTGTGCGCGTGTGCATGCATCTGTGTGTGTCCATTTACAAGTCAACTTCTTAGAAAAAAAGAAGTCTCTAACAGTAATAGTTTCATAAATTTCACAACTAAACCAAACTCTTGCCGCAGGGGAAGAAAGATACCCCCGCCCCAGAAGCACCAGGTGTGAGGGATGCTATCACTCCCCAACCCCTCAGGAGACTGAAAGGCAGCTGTTCATTGCATAATAAAAATAATGGCTTAAAAATGATTTCCCACAAAATGTAGTGCAGGTTACAGTGTGCATCATATTGGTTTCTGTTCCAGTTTGTATAATTGTATTTGGGGAACTCTTTTACAGAGAGATTTATCTGTTTTTTGCTTATCAAACCTATTTCTCTTTTAAAAGATAGACTCTCAGCAAGAGTCACCCTGAAGAATTGGGTCTACTTGACTATTTTGTTACATTTCAGAGGATAAAAAAGCATGCAGCAGTTACACTATTAAGTCCCAGCAATGGAACTGGCACTCTGAGCCACATTACTCTAGTCTCTATTTAGCTCAATTATACACCTTCACATTGTGAAGGAAGATAGATGGAGGTCATTCGGGAGCTGTAAAGCACGATGCCCTGAATGCAGAACTATGTTCTTAAAACTGATTTACACCTTCTTCTCCAGTGTTCTACAGCAGGGACTCGGCTTGAAATGCATGGAACCATGATTGAAAAGGCCTTTGCTGGGTTTTAGCATCATGGTCTGTGCCGTCTGGCAATTATTCCCTCTATTAAATGGCAAGGGACAATGAGGATGGCCTTCAGCGCTTTCATCATAGAAGCAAAGTCAAGCCAAGCCACAAGGGGAAATAGAGGTTCTTGGTCAGCAAATTCCTTGGGGAAACAGGAATGACAGGTATGTCTCCTGTAAACTGTAACCGATTGTGTGGATTGCTCCCACAGGAAAGGCTCCAGTCATTTGAAGCAGCAAATTGCTTTTCTAAAAAAAATGACAAAAGTATGGACACACACACACACACACACACACACACACACACACACACAGATGTGATGGTATATGCTTAGTATCCCAATTCTGAGCAGGCAGAGCCATGTGAATCTTGCCAACTTGGTAAGCTCCAGACCAATGAGAGACTCTGCTGCAATAATATTAATAAGAATAAGAATAAGAATAATTTTTAAAAGTGGATAGTGCCTGGGGACTGAAACCCAATTTCATCCTCCGGCTTCTACATTCACCATCATACACACACACACACACACACACACATACACACACACACACACACACACACACACACACACACACACACACACGCAAAATAGGAACAAAAATAATTAACAGAAAGTACATCTGATTTCCTTCCACCTGTCTCAAGTTGAAGGAACAGGGAGTGTTGAGAAACACAATTTCTGCTACCCCAGACCTATCCAAACAGGTCACCGTAGGTGCTAACCAACCAAGATCTACGGTTATAGATGCTCCAGTTAGACTCACAGCCACAGTGCCAAGTGTTTCATAAAAGTTCACTTCTGAATTACAGGCTTTAAAGAATTTTATTTCCACAGATATATTTTCGTTTGGAAAGAGAGGTATTTCAAGAAACTACTTGAGTATAGAATCAATCCCACTCCTTTCTCAGAAGAAAATAATGATTGAATTTAACTCAAATACCAGGTCTTCTGTGACAGATTTTTCTCTGTGTAAGTTAATCTGAAAGCTGGGGATTTTTTAATGAGATGATATTTAAGAAGTTCCTTGAACTCCAAGCAGCCTTAAAAACAGTGGACTTCTGAAACATTTCATTAACATTTAAAGTCATGTCAGACAGGCTGCTGAACTGTTGAAAGTCTTTTTAAGAGCTAACCATTTTATGGCCAACTATCGGTGCCTTGTAAAAGAGCTAACATGCTCTAGGGGCTCAGGCTTGGATTCAATGCATCTTGTCGGATGCTGTATAAGTAGAAACTGAAAAGGGGGAAACTGCACACATTGGGGCTTTTCCTTTGAAACTGTACTTCCTGCTGAATAACAGAATTGGCCTATTATAATCTTTAGCATCCAATATGTGTCTCCCATTCTTTATCACAGTCCTCTTCCCATGACCATAGTTCAGCTATGCTAGTCATATGGCAATCAGGGCAAGCTGTGAGCGCCATGTGCACAGAATTCTCTTTGCAATATATATTCATAGCTCCTTTCTGTTTGTATTTGGATCAATCTCAAAAGCCCCCAGGAAAGGACAGGTGGTGCTCCCCCCACCCCACCCCCGCTTCCATTACGTCACTGTGATTGTTTTTTTTTGTTTCTGTTTGGTTGTTTTTGTTTGTTTGTTTTTTGCTGTGCCATCTGAAATATTTTTGTTTATTCATATTTATTATCTGTCTCTCAGAATTAATTTAATTTTGAGACAGGATCTCATGATGTAACCTAGGCTTCCTGGAACTCATGATCCCCCTGCCTTAATATCCTGAGTGTTGGGACACTGTCTTAGTTAGGGTTTCTATTGCTGTGAAGAGACACCATGACCATGGCAAGTCTCGTGAAGGAAAACATTTAATTGGGGTGGCAGCTTACAGTTTCAGAGTCTGTTAGTCTGTTATCATCATGGCAGGACATGGCAGCATGCAGGCAGACGTGGTGCTGAAAGGAGCTGAGAGTGGAGAAGGAGACACATCTTGATCCTGCAGGCAACAGGAAATCATCTGAGATACCGGCTGTGGCTGGAGCATATAAGAGACCTCAATGCCCACTCCCACAGTGACACACCTCCTTCAACAAGCTCATCCCTACTTCAACAAGGCCACACCTCTAATAATGCCACTCTCTATGGGCTTATGGGAGCCAGTTACATTCAAGCTACCAGAGACACCATACCCAGCTTGTATCTCAGAACTTTAACATGAATTTCTATATTTTCTCTTGATGGTAAATCTCTAGACCACTGCATGCAGTAAATATTGATAGGAATGAATAAATAACAGGTTTTGAACTTGAAGAACTCATAATGAGTAAAAGGTAAACACTATTTAGTGGTCAAAAAGTGTAAACACTCTTTAAATGCTTTGAAACAACATTGAAACTATCAATGGGAACAAAAATTATAAATAATTTATTTGGAAAGGACTTGTATTTTATTTTATTTTATTTTTATTTTTTTTTTCAATTAATAAGTTCTTTATTCTGGAAAAACAAATCAAGTTCATATTCATAGAAACACTGACATTACAAAGTACGGGGACAGGGGAGGAGGCGACAGACCCTCTACAAACCTGCTAACACTGTCTCACCAACATGACCACACCACTCTGCCTACAGTCAGTCGTTTATAAGATAAACCACAGGGAAAGTCTCCTCCTTTGAGATGGCAGGGAAAGGGACCAGAAGTTGGGGTAGGAGGCTTTATTCTTTTGGCAGATCTTCTCAGTCATTATAGATATTGCTGCACTGTTAATAAAAAATATATGCTTCTCTGTAAAGCATTTAAAAAAAAATCCAAGGATGAGATGGCTGAGGTCTCAGCTCAAGTATCTCCAAGTACATGTCGTCCATTCCCTGACTGTCCTGTGTTATTTCTTGGTTGTTTTCCGGATCAATGCCATTCTCTGTTTGTGAGCTTCTGTGGTGCAAGCTTTCTTGTAGGGTCGGATTTCCTCAGAGCCAAATCCTGGGATCCACATGTTCCACTGGCGCTCTAGATGCAGCTGGACATCTTTCACCTCTAGGGTGCTAGACTTGCGATGCCGAGCAAGCTGGCAGGCCGCTGTCACCACACTCTCGATGAAATCATCGGCGATCTGCAGCAACATCTCCTCCACATCTTCATCCAGCTGCTCATTAGGATCCACTTCTCTGACTAAATCTTGTAATTTCTTCTTGGTCAATACCTGATTGTTTTCAGGGCTAAGCCGACCGCCTGCCCCAGGAGTGCCTGGTATCTTTACCACAGTGGTGCTATTGGCCATGGAGCCTTGTGGAGGGGTGCTGGCCAGCTAGGCAGCAGTGTCTATCTCCCCATGATATGCGGAGACTGCCCCAGTGAAGCTTTCATCTCAGCAGCCGGTCTTGTATTTTATTTTAAATGACATATTTATACACAAGTTAATATATGAATATAATATAATTTAGAAAATATGGAAGCAATAATTACTATGAGAAACAATTGGGACTGATCTTTTAAATTATGCTTATCTATCCTGTTTCAATTTACTGTGATAAATATTTACTTATTCAACTAATAGGTATCGTCTAACCACTACATTCTAGATATTCATCCTGATATTGGGTCATCTGTTAGTGAACAAATGAAAGTCCCTTAATTCATAGATTTCCATTCTAAGTCATGAAAGCAAATCAATAAAGAAAAAGAAACCAAGCTGGGCATAGAGTCTGTTATTTTGAACAGGACAATCAGGAAGGACTTCTTTGACAAGACAAAATTCAAGCAAGTATCCAAATGGGATACACGCTTTGGGAGATTCTTGGCTATGCTGGGGCCACTAAGAAACACAAACTCTCTGTCTTAAAACAACAAAGAATAATTTATTTCTCACCCACAGTGGTGTCCAGTATGGGTTGGTGAGCATGAAAGTAACCATTGTGCAATAGTGCGTGCCTGCTGGGATTCCATTATCTTCTGGGATGTGGCCTTTCTAACCATGATAATAAGAAAGTGGAGAGCTGAAGAAGCAAACAGCAGCTCATCTGCACATTGAAGTGACGTACTCTTGCTGCTCACTGGTCAGTCATTAGAGAAATCTGTACCTAGCATAAACATAACCAGGTATTAGTGAATGTTTGTGATACTTACCATCAGCAGTATAAATACATCAGTAGAGGGAAAGTAAAAGAGGCAGGACTGAGAAAACCTTGAGCTCTGTGTAAGCATCTTGTACTCCCAGAGGGACACAAGGTGGCAGGATTACTGTAGACTAAAAAGAGAACGGAAGATGTGATAAAAGTGATACCCAAGTATCAGACCACCTGGAGTCTTGTAGTCTGTCACTCCCATCCCAAATATGACAGTGTTGTGGCTTGAATGAGAAGTGTCCCCCACAGGCTCATGTACTTGAACACTTCTTCCCCAGCTGGTGGCGCTCTTTGGGGAGGTTTTGGAACTTTTAGAAGGTAGAGCCTTGCTGGAGGGAGGGCATCACTGTGGGGTGGGCTATGAGAGGCTTTGAAATAGTCTTTCCCCATTTCCCATTTGTACTCTCCGCTTCCTGTGTGAGGATGAGGTGATCTCTCTCAGCTTCCTGCCCCTGTCACCTTCTGCAATGCCTTCCTTTCCACTGTGGATGCTCCCTCTAGATCAGTAGTTCTCTATAGGAGAAAGTATTTGTCCCGCCCAGTCCCGCCCGGTCCCACAGCTGTTTAGTCTTAAATAAACACACAGAGGCTTATATTAAATACAAACTGAGCTATGGCTTGGGCTTCTTGCTAGCTAGCTTTTACAACTTAACTCAACTGATTCCCATTACTCTGTGCTTTGTCACGTGGCTTTGTGGGATTACCTGTTCTCTCACATCTTGCTTCTCCTGGCAGCGGCTGGGAGCATCTGCCTCTCTCAGCCCTTCTTCTCTCTGTCTCTTTTGCTTGGATTTCCCACCTGGCTCTATTCTGCCTTACCATAGGCCATAGCAGCTTCTTTATTAGCCAATAGCAGCAACACATATTCACAGCATACAGAAAGACCATCCCACAGCAGTTCTCAACCTTCCTAACACTGTGACCCTTTAACACAATTTCTCATGTTGTCATGACCCCCAACCATTACATTATTTTCATTGATACTTCTTAACTGTAATTTTGATACTATTATGAATCCTAATGTAGATATCTGATATTTCTGATGGTCTTAGGCAACCTCTGTGAAAGAGTCATTCAACACACACCCCCCAAAAGGGGTTGCAACCCACAGATTGAGAGCTGCTGCTCTAGAAGCTTAAGCCGAAATCAACTCTTCTGTAAGTTGCTTTTGATCATGACGTTTTATCATAGCAACAGAAAAGTAACTAATCCAGATGGGGAACCGCTGAGAGATATTTGAGCCAGAGATGATATCTGGTTTATAAAAAACTTATCACAGAAGATGGTATGTTTATTACTTTTCTGTTGCAGTGATAAAACACCATGACCAAAGCAACATATAGAAAGGAGAGTTTATATGGAATTATGATTCCAGAGGGTTATAGTCCATAATGATGGAGCAGAGGCAGGAGGTGGCAGGCATGGCTGATGAAGCAGGCGCCAAGAGGGTCACATCCTGAGCCACAATCACCAAGCAGAGAGAGCACACTGGGAATGGCACAGGCCTTTAAAACCTCAAGACTGCCCCCTAGTAATGTACTTCCTCCAACAAGGCCACAGCTGCTAAACCAACCCAAACAGGGCCACTAACTGAGGACCAAACATTCAAACATCTGAGCCTATGGGGACATTTTCATTAAAACCACCATAGACAGCAGCATAGAAACAGTTGTTTAAACTAAATGCCAGATTATTAAAGTGAACAGATTATAAGGGTACTAAGGGTCACTAATCTGTTGATAAATAGAAATAAAAAATGGCCGGGCGGTGGTGGCGCACGCCTTTAATCCCAGCACTCGGGAGGCAGAGCCAGGCGGATCTCTGTGAGTTCGAGGCCAGCCTGGGCTACCAAGTGAGTTCCAGGAAAAGGCGCAAATCTACACAGAGAAACCCTGTCTCAAAAAACCAAAAAAAAAAAAAAAAAAAAAAAAAAAAGAAATAAAAAATGGCCTAAATGCTTTTATGGTGAAGGCTGTTCTAAGGATTTGATTGTACGTGAACAAATCCTTCAGGGGTATTTTTTTTTTCCCTCTTTAAAACACGGGCTGAAGCCCTAAAATGTCAAAAGGCACACCAAGGAGATGAGTTATTTTGCTATGTGTAAAGAAATTAATTGAATAAGCACAGCTGGCTTCCTCGTGGAGCAGGAGGCCAGGCAGCTGCCAATTGAAGGGGCCCAGAAGCTTCTGTCATTGCCACTAGGGAGAGGAACTTGAAGGTCCTTGGAGAAGCTGTTTGCCATTTTAAAAGGATTTTGACAACGCTAGGAAGTGCTCTGCTATATTTGCTGTGTCCCTAGGTGTCTAAGGGAATCAGAACTCAATTTCCCAGGGTCACATTGCTGGATACCCTCCTTCACCAGTGGACCTTCAGGCCTGCGTAGGTCTAGCCTTGAAATAATTAAGAGAAATTGTAAAGGGCAGATTTTGTTGCAGGAATATAAATTATCCTAAATGGAAAAAAATGTGGGTATTCTTTGGGTCTGGCAGGATACGTATGGTGCATTTAAAAGGAAAGCGAGAATTTCAATATTGTAAGCAGAGGTAAAAGGAATTCAGCCTGTGTGTGTAAAGTGTGGTGCCGGCTCCTCTGGTTAGTTCTAGCTTCTTTTCATCTCAGCAAGTTCTTCTTTTCCTTCCATGTCCCAAAGCCAAGTCATCACTTAGCACTGAGAATTTACCTTCTAAACCATGGTCACCACAGTGGGTTCTTCTCCATCTTCACTCGCCCTCCTGGTGCTAAATCTTCTCCTCCGTTCCCAGATCTTCAAGAGACCCCCCCCTCAAAATAAGGTGGGAGGTGAGAACCAACTCCAGAAGGTTGTCCTGTGACTTCCACACAGGCGCCATGGCACACATGCACCTGTACATGCACATGTGTGCACACACATGCACAAACATGCACACACACACAGAGTTACACAAACACATACACAGTGGATAAAAAACACAAATTTGAATTTTTTTTTAAAAAAGTAAGTGGATAAGTAAAAATTTTCCGTGTGTGAAGCTATTGATTTATTGATTTCTCCTTCCAATACTGTTTTCGTTTTTTGTGACTTTGCGCCTGCGCTGTCAGTATGAACAGGGAAATTCTTTTTAACATCGTAAATTGATTTTCTCGGTTGTCCTGCAAAGATGATGCCTTTTTTTTTTTTTTAAATTGCTTGTTGTCTAGCTGGAGACAATACCTGTAGGAAGCAGCTTTCTGGTCTATTGCGTCATGAAGGATGCAGTTATTTTGAAGACTTAGCTTTATGTGAATGGTTACATTTCAAATTACGGCCTCAACTGTTGTGTTTGCAAATAAGTAGGAGCAAAAGCAGCAGCAATGCTCATACCCCTAGACCACAGATCCTGTGGCTCCTACCGGAATGCACATTCCAGAGGCAGCTGCAATGAATTTGCACTTGCTAACAATTCTAGTGCTTAATTTTCGCTTCCATTTGGGCACTTATTTCTCTCTCCTCATTGTAGACTCATCCATACAGACAAACATATGCTCATGTGCTACGCTTCCATGTGGTTCTTTGACTATCACAAGGAAAAAGAGAAAAACCACCATCAACTAATACAAAAAAAAAAAGCTTTCTAAAATATACTACTAAATAACGTCATAAAGCACAAAAAGAAATAACGTATTACAGCATACTTTATGTAAGAAAGAAGAGAAAATAAAAACACAGAAAATTTGTATGTCTATACCCTGGCACCTGACTATGCCAGAATAAACACAGAAAAGCCAATTCAGATTTTAATTGAAAATGCTGCCGGGCAGTGGTGGCGCACGCCTTTAATCCCAGCACTCGGGAGGCAGAGGCAGGCGGATCTCTGTGAGTTCGAGGCCAGCCTGGTCTCCAAAGCAAGTTCCAGGAAAGGCGCAAAGCTACACAGAGAAACCCTGTCTTGAAAAAAAAAAGAAAAGAAAATGCTTTAAACTCTGGGGGCGGTGGTCACAAGATAAAGGGGCATAGGGATTGGTGTGAGATGTCTCAGTGTATATTTTTATGGTTTTAGCCTTTGAAACATACAAATGTTTCATATACATATTCAAAAAAATAGTAAGTAGGGAAAGATAAAAAAGGGTCGACTCATATGTGGGGGGCTGAACAGATCCTTGGAACTAAATCTTCAGCTCGAGTAATTTAGCCACTGCACCTGGTCTTCTCACACAAGTACTAATAAAGGAAAAAAGACAGACATA